TTTTTTTTTTTTTTTTTTTGGTCAAAACTCGAATTACTATTAATCCCCCTATTTTTGCTAGCTTCGTCCGTTTCATCAAGATGTGTTTCTCCTAAAAAAAAAAAAAAAAAAAAAAAAAAAAATGAGGAGGAACTATAAATTAAATGTATATATTTATTCATGTATTTTTTTTTTTTTCGTTTGTTTTTCAGGTTCCCATGAACGAGATGGATTTCAACATCCTGTGGATGGGGAACCACCCGAAGCCAGACATTCTACGGAATTTAATGCCTCACCAGAAAGTGAACCATTTCCCAAGGTACGTGGCATCGATCGACGTTCTCGTGGGAAAATAAGCATACAACTGCCAGGAAATCGAGCCAATTCTCGATCATTCGGGAATAAATCAATCGGGCGCGTAAGATAATAAACGAACGTGTTCGTCGATAACGAGCAAAAACAATTCCGTTTCGTTTGAATCTTCCATTTTTCAGAGAAGCTGAGCAGAGAGAGAGAGAGAGAGAGAGAGAGAGAGAGATACCTTCTCTCGCTGCTACAGTGGATCGTTCAACGTCGGCTTTGTTTACTCTTTATTTATATAAAGGAAGCCATTTGTTAATTGTTGATTGTTCCGTTGCAGATCGTACGAGATAACCCGCAAGGATCGACTGTACAAAAACATCGAGGCGATGCAACGCAGCAAGGGCCTACGAAATTTGGACTTCATACCGCAAACGTTCCTGTTGCCCAGCGAGTCCAGGGAATTACTCACGGCGCATTTCAGGTACCGCGGGCCCTGGATTGTCAAGCCGAAAGCCAGCTCCCGCGGACGTGGCATTTATATTGTTAACAGTGTGAGCATAATAATTTCTATAGTTATGAATTTAGATAACGTGGCCTGCACCTGCATGCTTGCTTTCACACACCGTCGTCACTCGACAAGTATATTGTGATAAGAAGAACTCCACGTTACCACAAACGTGGTAACTCCGTTGTGACTTTCAGTCAAAGCAGTAGCTACGAATTTTTTTCTTCTTTTTTCTTTTTCTTATATACATATTTATCGTGTATCTACTTATCTACGTATGCTTGCAGCCTGAAAAGATTCTTACGGACGAATCTGTGATCGTTGCACAGTACATAAATAATCCGCTTCTGGTCGACGGGCATAAATGCGACTTACGGCTGTACGTGGCCGTGACGAATTACGATCCGCTGTTGATCTACCTGTATGAGGAGGGATTAGTGAGATTCGCCACGGTGAAGTACGACGGTGGCAACCAGTACATCTGGAACCCGTGCATGCACTTGTGCAATTACAGCATCAACAAATTCCACGTGGATTACATAAAGTAAGCAGAGTCGTTTTTCTTTCGGTACGACGACGAACATTATATTGTCCTGCTTGTATGAAAATTCTCAAATTCAGTTTCTTGTCGTTGCAGGAGCGAAGATCCAGACGCTGAGGATGTGGGCCACAAGTGGACTTTGTCAGCGTTGCTTAGACATTTACGTTCGATGGGCCAGGACACGGAATTGTTGATGCAACGTATAGAGGATATCATCATAAAGTCGATTCTTGCAACTGCCTCTGGGATTGTCAGCGGAATCAAGCAATTTGTGAAATATCCGGAAGCATGTTTCGGTAAATCTTGCCGCTTACGATGATTTTCTTGTCAATGTGATTTTGAATGGTGTTACAACTTATGAATGTGAACTTTCAATGGAATTCTAGAACTATTTGGATTTGATATTTTAATCGACGACACGTTGAAACCATGGCTGCTAGAAGTGAATTTAACACCATCGTTGGGTTGCGATTCACCGCTCGATGTTAGATTGAAATCGGCACTGATAGCCGATTTGCTTACTCTGGTTGGTATACCGGCGATCGATCCAATGTTACGACCCCAAACTACACACCTGAACCGATCCACAGTAACTTCCACCAAAAGAATAGTCAACGTAAGTTCTACACCGTCAGTTCTCGAGACCGAGCCCATTAAACGAGAAAGTCGTTTGATTATAGTGTAGGAGAGTACATTCGGCCGAAACATTGTCACAAAGGAAAAAAAACGCTAATAAAGGCAACATCAATAAATCAGGATTGACGAGCGAACAGCAACGAATAGTAGGATCAGCGAAAGCTCAATTCGAACGACGAGGAGGATTCGTCCGTATATTCCCAAGTCCAAAGTCGTGGGAAATGTACTCGCAGTATTTAGGTACTACAACTAATATCATTTTACGAGTTATTCTTTTCAGTTGGAATTTTCAGTTGAATCAGTTATCTTGTGCTTTTAGATCCAACCACGGGAATACCAATAGTCTCGGATCCTCTAGGACCAGGCAGAGTTCCACACCAGATCAATACGAATCACAATTTAATGCTGCACGAGCAATTATTTCCCGCAGCTAGTCGTACCACTGACTTCATCATTCCCGAGGTCACGTTGGATAGATTGTCTAGGTACTTTTGTGAAAGTACTAAAAGAATATTTGGAAAGTCTATCCTTAAATAATAGTATACAATTGGTGTGACTCATTACAGGTACGAGAGATATGAGAGAGCTTTAGTGAAAGGGCACAAGCAAAGTTTAGACCGCGGTAGTAGTAAAGAGAATATGGATACGGATAAGCATAAGTACAAGAGCCAAGTGGTGCAATCAATGCACGAAGGAAATAAACTTAGGTTGGTTACGTGATCGGTTACATCATATAGAATTGCATGACCAATACCATAGACTCGCGTATATACATAGTTGACAAAATTTTCAGCCCTGGAGAAGCTAGGAAGGCCTTCGGTTTATATTTAGGACATGTATTGCGTAAAATATCGCAGCCTAGAGCGGATCCAGCATGCTGTGATCTTGTGATGAAATTTCTTCAACAATCAGCTAGTAATTTAAGGACACCATTCTTTTTTACGGTATGTCATGTAAGTACGTTGTGTTGTTCCAAATTTTATACGCATTAATCCAATTCATTTCCTTGGCACAGTTACCAAGTAGTAAGTTGAGCGATAAAGATCGTGCCGCCGTCACGGCTAAACAACTCTCGGACTTTTTACATTTATACAATCGAGAAACAGATCTTTACGCCGATACAGTTGACCGTCCACGTACTGTCCCGAACCGGCTTTTTCAAAAATTTTTAGCCACGGCAAGGTAAGTCCTA